TGATGATGATGATGATGATGATGATGATGATGATGATGATGATGATGATGACGACGACGATGACGATGATGATGATGATGATGATGATGATGATGATGATGATGATGATGATGATGATGATGATGATGATGATGATGATGACGATGATGATGATGATGATGATGATGATGATGACGACTCTGATGCAAGTGATTGTGCTGATGATGTAGACAACGCTGGCTGGTGCTGATGTTGCTGATAAGGGTGGTAAGTCCGATGCTGATGTCGATGACGATCGTCCGCGCTCTTCGTCGGTCGTCCCTTTGTCCGTCCCTCGCCGTCGTCTTCGTCCCCGTCGTCATCGTCGTCGTTGTCGTCCACTGGTCGTCGTCGTCGTTGGCCGTCTTTGTTGTCATCGTAGTCCGTCGTCCGTCGTCCGTCCTTCGTCGACCGCGCCGTCGTAGTCGTCGTTGTCTATCGTTCGTCGGTCGTTGCGCTGGGTCCGTCATCAGTCTGGCTCGTCGTCGTCATCGTAGTCGTCGGTCGTCGTCATCGTCGTCCCTGGCCGTCGTCGTAGTCGTCGTCCCCTGGTCGTCGTCTTCATCTATCGTCGTCGTCGTCGTCGTCGTCGTCGTCGTCGTCGTCGTTGTCGTCGTCGTCGTCGTCAGTTGCCCGCTGTCCGTTCTCCGTCGTCCGCGTCGTTCGTCGGTCGTCGTCTGTCGTCTGGCACCATTCGTCTGTGGTTCGTCGTCGTCGTCGTTCTCGTCGTCGTCGTCGTCGTCGTCGTCGTCGTCGTCGTCGTCGTCGTTCTCGTCGTCGTCGTCGCTGCCCGGCGGCGCTGGCGCCGGCGCTCGGCGAGGTCGGTTGCAGGAGGGAGAGAACCGATTCGAACCTCCCCCCGTGGAACTCAGGGGGGGAGGCCCCCCCCCAGGTTCGAAGCCACCCACCCCTTGGACAGGGGGGGAGGTCGATTCGAACCTTCCCCCCCTTCTAGACAGGGGAGGGGGGGGTCCAGTGTCCAGGGAAAGGGGGCCTCTGATTCTCCCGGGGCGCTCAGTGTTTTTGTTTGGGGGGGGGGCGCCCCAAGATCGCCCAAGAGGCCTCCAAGATGGCCCCAAAACGGCCCAAGAGGCCCCCAAGACGGCCCCAAGAGGGCCCCCCGACGGCCCAAGAGGCCTCCAAGACGCCCTAGATGGCCTCCAAGGCGGCCGTGAGCACCCCAAGAGGGCCCCAAGTCGGCCCAGAGAGGCTCCGACGTGGCGAGGGATTTTGTTCCCGGCGCGTTCTCTCGGAGGTCTCGACCCGTTCCCCGGGACGGTTTTTTTCATCCCGAGTCGTTTCGTTGGCGGTCCTGAGGGCCCGCGATGGTCCCCAGAGGCGGAGAAGAGCGAGAACATTGTCCGTCGGGTGTTTCACGACGCGAGGGGGGCTTCAAAACCCGCGCGAAATGGCTCCCCAGGCCCCTGCCAGGGTCCAGCCGCGAGCGCCAGTTGCTCGAGCTGCGTCCAGCCGTGGGCGACGAGGAGGGCCCCGAGGGCCCAAAGAGCCTCGAGCCTCTGTCCTCGAGGCTCGAGCCTCGATCCTCGAGGGGATCCCGAGCCTCGATCCTCGAGGGGGTCCCTCCCTTCCTCCCGTCTGTCAAGGCACTCCAGCTCCGCTTGGCATCGCTCGGACGTGTGCATTTTTCCTTGGGCGAGGGCCATCGAGGAGCATCCTTGATCATTTGGCGAAAAAACCGCGCACGAAACCGAAAAAAACACAAGGGAATGGACGTCCGAGCGATGGCCAGCTCAGACCCGACGCTGCGAGAAAGAAATGCAACATCGCACAGGATCGCCACCAGGAGCCCAGGGCCCCTCTTTCTGCCTCGTGCCTCGAGCTGGGCCGATCTGTGAGCGCCCCCCGGCGCCCCAGATCGGGCGACGACGCCCGCTTGCAGACAACATTGCGCCTCCAGGATCTTAGGGTCCAGCCACGCCCCCCCTCCTCCATCAGAGATCCGACGTCTTCATTTCTTCGATGCCTTCATCAGAGATCCGACGCCTTCAGTTTTTCGACACGGGGCCTTGGCGGCCCCGACCCGTCCCCTGGAGGACCAGTGTTTCTCATCCTGGGTCGTCCCGTCGCGGCCCCGGCGCCCCGCGAACGCCTCCCCGGGGCCTCGGATGGCGCAAGAACTCCGTCTGGATATCTTTTGTTTTTCTCGTTGGATCTCTCGGTCCCTCCCTCCCCCCCCCTCTCTCAGGAGGGGACAAAACACACAGACACCATGAATCGCAAATCCCCAGGAAGAGAAGGGAAACTATGGGCAGTGGGGGGGAAGACAGAAACCCAGAAAATATGGGAAAATATGGAGGATCCTGTTATTTGTGTGTGTGTGTATTTATTTGTGTCCCAGGCCCCCCCCTCACCTCCTCCTCCTCTCCTCTCCTCCCTCCTCCTCATCCTCCTCCATCCTCCCTTCATCCTCCTCCTCCTTGCTCCTAGCTCCTTGATCCTCCTCCTCCTCCTCCTCCCCTCCTCTTCCCTCATCCTCCTCCTCTCCTCCTCCTAGCTCCTAGTTCCTCCTCTCCTCACTCTCCTCCTCTCCTTCCTCCTCCTCCTCCTCCTCCTCCTCCTCCTCCTCCTCCTCCTCCTCCTCCTCCTCCCCCTCTCGCCGCAGGACGCCGGCGCGCGGGCCGGCGTGTTCCTGGCCGTCACCCGCGTCGCCGGTGTGCCGGACGGCCGCGCCGCGCCTCGGCCTCGCCGCCCCCCCGCCGCCCGCGCCGGCCTCGGCGACCCCCTCCTCGGGCGTGAGGGGGGGGCCTCCTCCTCCTCCTTCCCTCCTCCTCCTCCTCCTCCTCCTCCTCCTCCTCCTTCTCCATCTTTCCCCTTATTTCTCCTCCTCGTCCTCCTCCATCTTCTCCTCCTCCTCTGTTCCTCCTTGTTCCTCCTCCTTATCTCTGTTCCTCCTTGTTCCTCCTCCTTGTTCCTCCTCCTCTGTTCCTCCTTGTTCCTTCTCCTTATTTCCCCTTATTTCTCAATATTTCTCCTTGTTCCTCCTCCTCCTCCTCCATCTCCTCCTCCTCCTCCTCCTTCTCCTCCTCCTCTCCTCCTCCTCCTCCTCCTCCTGTTCCTCCTCCTCCTCCTCCTCCTCCTCCGCCTCCTCCTCCTCCTCCTCCTCCTCCTGCTCGGGCGTAGGGAAAAGGGGCATCATCATACGATGCGACCGTTGGATGAGGAACCCTTAGGTGCGGAGCCGGCTGTGGGTCCGAGGTGGCCCAGCAATGCTTCTGGCCAGCAGCAAGAGCTGACAGGTTCGAGGTGCTGGGCTCGAGCAGTTTTTGGTTGGGGTGGGGCGGGAGTTGTTTCCTTCTTCGACCTCAGGAGGCCATTTTCTAGCCCGGGACTCTTCCATTGCTAATCATCATCGGTTCTCGGGGGCTTTCCGGCCTCGGGATGCGCTACATCAGCTGCGCCTCGGTTTCGAGTTGTTTGAGTTTTGCGTCGGTCTTCGTAGGCTCTCGGCGGCTCTCCTGCCTCGCGATGCGTTGGAGCAGCTGCTCCCCGCCGAGGGCGCTCTGGGGGGGGGGGCGTCCCGACCGAACGGCCGCCGGAGACCAGGGTTCCGGCCCGACAGCCGAGTGGCCCATCTGGGGGGCCCCGAAATTCCAGGCCTCCGAGATGGGGTCCGAGTAGATGGGGTCGGGGTCATCGCGCCGCTTCGCCGATGCATCGACGATGCGGCTCGATGTGGGGCCCGTGTTTCTCCACGCCGACGTCGCGAATGCGTCGCCGACGTCGGCGGTGCATCACCGGTGCATCGCAGATGCATCGCTGATGCATCGCCGATGCATCCGCGATGTGGCGGGATCCGCCGACCCCATCTACTCCGATCCCATCTAGGAGGCTTCAAGAAGTTCAAAGTGGGCGCGGCGGGGGCCGACCGCGGTGCAAGCCAAATCCCCCGCCAGCATTGGTCGGGCCGGGCGAAAGGGGGGGATTGGGAAAGGGGGGGTTACGAAATTTGCTGCATGCAGCTGGTTTCGGCCTCACCGAGGGGCCCATGCCTCGAGACCAAGCCGCCTCCGGTGCCGGGAGGCGCCGGGAAAATCAGCTACGTGAGCTGATTCTCAACCCCCCCTTTGCTATCCCCCCCTTTCGCCCGACCCGAATTGGTCATGGAGGGAGCTGTGAGGCCGTGAGGTGGCACGAGTGTTCGCTGTCGGTTCGCCTCGCCTGTCGGAGGAGGGCCCGTCGAGACAACGCCAGCCCTCCCTGGCGTTGCGCGTGCTTCTTGGAGGCCTCCCCGCGGGGGTTCTCGTCGCGGCGGGCGGGTGCGCCGCGGGAAACACGTCGGGGTGGACTTTTGGGAGGCGCCCGGGGGCTGATTCACCAGATTCGGGCCCTCCCTGGCGTTGCGCGTCCTTTTTGGAGGCCTCCCCGCGGGGTTCTCGTCGCGGCGGGCGGGGGTGCGCCGCGGGAAACACGTCGGGGTGGACTTTTGGGAGGCGCCCGGGGGCTGATCTTCACCAGATTCGGGCCGGACGGGGGAGCCGCCCTTGTCTCGACAGGGCCGCCCCCGAGGTTCGCGCTGCAGGCAGATGCGGCGGGAGATGTTGGGCAATTTTTGTGGGGCCGGGGGCCCTCCATGGACCCTGGGGCTTTCAGAAAACTGCTCTGGGTGGAGAGCCCGTCGTGGGAAGGGGCCCAGATCTTTTTTTGGGGTCCGTGTTGTGAAACATAAAGCGGTCTTACCAAGCTAATTCTGGTACCATACACAGGATATCGTCTGTGCACAGGACGGGACCAGTCCTACACAAACCATTTGGCTTGAGTTTGTTGTTTAATGCTGGGGTTATCCTGGGGTCAGGCATTTGTGCTTGTTGCTGGCTCCACCTCCACGCCTCCTCCTCGCCACAAGGGAGTGTAGAAGGGGAGGAGGAGGAGCAGGAGGAGGAGGAAGAGGAGGAGGAGGAAGAGAAGGAGGAGGAGAAGGAGGAGGAGGAGGAGGCGGAGGCGGAGGCGGAGCGATCAGGAGCGATCAGATGAAAGGACAGCGTACGTCCACAAACGGCGCCATGGCCTTCGGTGACCTGGCCCGCTTGAGGGTTAAAACTGAGGCCTCAGTTTTAACCCTCTTCAAAAAGGGGAACTGCGGCCGTCGGCGGGCCGCCTCACGCCTGAGGGGAAAAGGAATGCGGGGCACTCCAGATTCCCCCGACCTGGAGGAAGGAGAAAAACCTGTTGATCAGCGCGCACTTGCTGATCACGTAGCCGAACTCGAGCGCTCCTGGAGAACCCTGTCCACGAACTGGCTGCGCAGCTCGTCCGTACACTCCAAACCGATCTCGAGCGCATTCTGCATGGCCGAGTCCACGAGGCAAAGCTCGTACTCCGTCAGGGTCTCGATGACCTTCTCCGCCTCCTTCGCATCAGTCTGTAGGTTGTTACTGTCCTCGGACTGCACGCGGTACACGCCGAGCAGTTTCGAAGCCTCCTCCATCTTGAGCTGCAGGTCCGTGAACTGTTGCTGCAGCTGCTGAGCCGTCTCGGCCGTGCCCTTCGACAGCTCCTTCAACGGCTTCACCTCGATGTCGGCCGCCACCGAGCCGACCAGGGCGCCGTCCTCGCTCTCGGGCACGTCGGTCGAACTCTCGATGGACGAGTTCTTCTTCATCAGGCCCTGCTTCAACTGTGGTCCGGCACTGGCGATGACCTGGCCCGCCGCCGCGGCGAGGCCGGCGCACGCCGGGTGCGCAGTCGCGTTCCGGTACCTGGAGGCTCGCCCCAGCCTGCCCGCCACGGCACGGCCAGGAGCCCCCAGGCTAGACAGGACCTCCTTGGCGTCCTTGACCGTCCGTTCCACGCCCGCGATGTCGCCCACGAGGTTGACGACAGCCTGCACCTCGTCGAGCGGGTCGATCTTGTCCTCTGCGGCCGCCGTAGCCGCGGCGCCTTGAACTGCGCCTCGAACTGCAGCAGCCACGAGCGACGTCAAGCACTTGGTCGAGACGCCCATCTCGATAGCCGCCGAAATGGCACCGAAGGCAGCCCCCGCCGCTGGGCTGCCCGCCAAAACAGCCGCCTGCGTCGAAACCATCGCGCACCGCGAGGCCCCCGCCGCCCGAGGACGGCCTGCCGCTGCCAGCTCCGCCCAATGGCTTGAGCCAAAATGGCTACGGACGGAGGCGGAGGCGGAGGCGGAGGAGGAGGAGGAGGAGGAGGAGGAGGAGGAGGAGTCCAGGGTCTGGCCCCGGGTCCCGGCCTTTTCGTTTCGGGCGAGTTTGAATTTCGAGGGCCGCGTGCGCAGCGGTAGCGTGCGCGCTGCCCAGAGACAGACCCGAGTCGCCACCGAGCCGAGCCGAGGAGGAGAGAGCTCAAGAGGGACATGAGGAGGAGGGAGGTGGAAAATGGTGACACGGAACGAGGATAAGGAGGGGGACCATGAAGGCGTAGCAGGATCTGGATGATGGCAAGGATGACGAGGGGTAGGAGGAGGTCCCGCAGGACAGCTACGTGAACTTCGGCCAGTCCGTGGCGCGCGCCACCAGTGCCGAGTCTCGACGATTAGGCCCCCTTCCTGTTGCTTCATCCATTCTTCCTTTTCGCCCCACCTACTTCTTTTTTTTCTCCACGATCATTGCTCCTCCTCCTCCTCCTCCTCCTCCTCCTCCTCCTCCTCCTCCTCCTTGCCTCTCCTGCGTAACGCTGTGCCTCCTCCTTGTCTCTCCTCCTGCCCTCCTCCACCTCCTCCTCTCCTCCTCCTCCTCCTCCTCCTCCTCCTCCTCCTCCTCTTCTCCCAGTTCCCTCCTCTTCCCCCTGCTTCATCCCTCCTCCTCTTTTCTCCTCCTCCTCCTCCTAGTGCTGCTGTTCCTCCTATTCCTATTGCTCGTGCTCGTGTTCGTGCTGTTCCTGCTGCTGCTCAGTTTTCTTCTCCCCATGCCCGTGCTGCTCCTCTTCCTCCTCGCCCTCAGCTCGGCCTCCTGCTCTTCGCCCTTCTTGTCCGTCCCCCCCCTCCCGCCGGAGAAGCCACCGACACCGTCCGAGTGGCCTACGAGATCCTCGTGCCGCCAGGGGCACCCGAGGGGCTCGACGGCAGCTTGGTGTGCGGCCGACTGGCTGCGGCCTCGCTGGAGGAGCTCACCGCGGCCCTGTTGTCAAAGGTCACCGGGAGAGAGAGGAAGCAGAACACCCGCTGCAGTCAGATGAGGGCTTTGGAGGTCGATCCTTTTCCTCCTCCTCCTCCTCCACTTCTCCTCCTACTTCCTCCTCCTCCTCCTCCTCCTCCTCCTCCCATTCTCTTCCTCCTCGCCCCTCTTATCCTCGCCCCCCCTCCCCCTTCCTATTCCTTGTAAGTAACTCCTGCCTGTCGCACCCCGAGGCCAGTCGGAAGGGTGGCCCAGGCGTTTCGCTTGAGACGGCCGTGTCATTTATGAATCTGGAGCATAAACATTAGCAACAGTTCCACAGATGGAGGGTGGGCCGCTTCTAACATGTGACGCTCGCTCGAGAGCCGCGCACTTTGCGGGAGATTCACAGATTGAGTATGGTTCCTGTTCAAAATGTGGCTCTCGCCTTAGCGCTGCGCACATTCGCTTGAACGGAGCACGAGTTTCACGGATTGAGGGCGGCTCCTTTTCAAATTGTGGTTTTCGCCGTAGCGCCGCGCACACTCGTCTCTGACACTTGCAAGAGTCTCACGGATTCCCATGGTCAACGTACAGGAAGTGGTCTTTTTGAGTACTGTAGTTCAGAACTGTCAGGGCCCAACAGCTAAGTTTATACGCAGTGTTGATGTCCCAGGACCCGTGTCCTGGTAAGATTCAGGATCGTCAATATGCAACAGTCAGGTTGATGTCTGGCGTTGGAGTCCCGATAATGGCGTTTGGCACGCTCAGGATCTTCAAACGGTTGTCTCCCAACGGGGCAGTTCCCTCAGTGGTCATGAACTCTTGTAGGGGCCTGTGAAGACGGAGCTTGGAGGAAGGATTTACTCCAACATCGTTGATGGCTCTTGGGTGTACACTGGTCCCCCTCCTCCTCCTCCTCCTCCTCCTCCTCATCTTCTCCCTCTCGCCCTATCCCCCCAGGACCCCTCAAGGAGAGGAGCACTATACGACGCCACCAGGATCCAAGCCACAGTTGGCCTGTGACAGCTTGGTGGTGGTCGACGGGAAGGAGGATTTGGGAGGGAGAGCGAGAACAGGGAACAGGAGGAGGAGGAGGAGGAGGAGGAGGAGGATGGGGATGGGGATGGGGAAGGGAACAGGAAGAGAAAGACGACGACGATGCCGGCCACGAAGAGAATTTGGGCAGACGATTGAGAGGGCTTGGGGAGGAGGAGAAGGAGAAGGATAATTGGTGGATTGACGGGAGTAAGTAAAGGGACGAGGAGAAGCAGGAGAGGGAGGAGAAGGATGAGGAGCAGCAGAGAAGGAGGAAGACGACGACGGCAACAAGGATATGCAGCGTGGAATGAGGAGGGAGGGAGAGAGGGAGGAGAGGAGAGGAGGATGAGGAGGAGTGGGAACGCCATGCAGGGTTAAGTGGATGATGTGAGTGAACTACGGAATGAGCGACAGAGCGGGTGAACCAGGCCCCCGACGTCCCAGGAAGGGCGCGGGCTCAGGGTTCCCTCTCAGTAGGTAACCTAGTGCCAGGTCTCAATTTTCGCAGGGCCGGCGAATTTCTCTTGCGATAGTGGACGAGGTCGCGCAGGGCCGGCGAGTTAAATTGTTGAGGATGTCTCGAGCGAAACGCTGGTGTTTGAAATTCCGATCGATCAAAACATTGTAAAGTACACATTTTCGCTTGTTGCGGATGTCTCGAGCAAAACGCTTGGTTTGCAGAATGTGCTGGGGATTTCTCTAGCGAAACGCTTTCTTTGTGCTATGGATCGTGCTCTCCTGGGGACCAGAGTTCGGATGTCTCAGGTGACATGCTTGTTTTCACGTGCCCGGGGCTTGAGGATGACTCGAGCGAGACGCTTGGTTTCACGCGTCCAGGTTGCCCAGGCAGATGTCTAGCATGAGGATATGTTGAGGATCTCTCGAGCGAGACGCTTGGTTTCACTCGTCCAGGTCGCCACCCAGATGTCTATCATGAGGATTTGTTTAGGACATGTTGATCAAAATGCTTGTTTTCACGTGTCCAGGTCGCTTAGGTCGGTGTCTAACATGAAGATGTGCTCATGATGTCTCGAGCGAGACGCTTGTCGCAGGTGAGTGCGTCCCCTGGCGCACCACCCCGCCCTTCCGTGGGGCGTCCCCTGGCGCAGTGGCGCGTCCCTCGGCGCGTCCCTTGCGACAATCTGGCGTGACGTGCCCTGGCACGTCCCCCAGCACACCGCTCGGCGTGGCACGCTCCTTGGCTCGTCCTCTGTCGCGTTTCCTGGCTCCTCCCCAGGCGTTTCCCCGGCCCGTTCCGTGGAGTGCCCCTTGCAACATCCCTCGGCATGACGTCCTCAGGCCGCCACATGGCACGCGCCTTGGCACGTCCCGTGGCAGGTCCCTGACACGTCCAGGGCACGTCCCCTGATGCGTCCCCTGACACGTCCCCTGGCGCATCCCATATTGCGCCCCTGGCACATCCTGTGGCGCGTCCGTGAGCCTGTGCCCCGTGTCGTGTCGTTCATTTTCGGAGCTGGGTCGGATTTTGAAGTCGATTTGATTGAACGTCCTCCACGTTTCCTCTTCAACTAGCTTTGGGCGCAGGTACTATGTGCCTAGGCAGCTCGAGCTTAAGATCCAGATCA